AGGAAACTGGGAAAATAAGAGTGTCAAAAAGTTTTAAGAGTTATTTTTAGTTTGACCTTAGATGTATATACATCTTTTAAAACTCTAATGTAGTATGCACTTCACTGATGGTTATTTCAAAGTAGTAACATCATGATAAGGAGAACAAAGATAATATCTTCTTTAGGGCTATCTTCTTCAGGACTTTCTTGTCAAAATGAAAAGGATACTGTATGTGGGCATGGGATAAAAATCCATTTTATTTTTATGGTCTCATATTCATTGCATTTGTAAAATTTGACTCCTTAATATATACAAATGCTTCACATGTTCTTAATAGAATGTCTTTTAAAAACAGCATAGTATAGCAAAAAGGGGACTGGACTGAAAGTTGGGAAATCTGGGTTACCTTCCGGCTGACCTAGTGGGTGGCCTTGGGCAAGTCACTTATCTCTTTCAAGTCACTTATCTGTCTGTTCTTCATTTCCTCCATCCAACCAAACAAAAGGAGGAGCTAAAGTTTTACATCTCCAACATGACAAGGTCGTTGATGATAAATGAGCTAACATCTAAAATAACTTTAAAATAGAGAACTCTATAAATTTAGAGGTTTACCATTATCATATGTATCTTAATAGACGAATCTGCACCTAGAAATACTTAATTACAGAAGCTTTTTTTTTCAAACTTTGGAAAGTTATCGAATTTAATTTGGTGCTTGAAATTAGGATTTATGGCATTGGTAGAATTCATTGATGATTATTTATGATCTTCATATATCAAATACTGTACTAGACTACTAGAGGTTATGATTGGACTAGACAGAGGGTGCCAGAGCAAGTGTCTGTGGGACGCTGAGATGAAGATATTCAACTTTCCATCTAACAAAGTAGATCCAAAGCCCATACTGGAAACCCTCATGCAGGAACCTTTTTTTTTTTTTTTAAAGCTTTTGAGTGTTTCACACAAGTGTTACAGAAGACAAGTGCCTAAGTCAGAACCATGAGAAATACTGCCATTTGACATGTTAGATTGAAGAAGGAGAGCACAGCATCTGGGGAAGACTGAAAAGGGAACCATAGAAATAGGGGGAAAAAAGGTGAAACATGGGAGATGTCGTTGAAGTCAAGAGAAAGAAAGCATCAGGAAAATTGCTAGACATGATACAACTAGATTGTTAGATGACTTATTGATACAACATTATAAGCAATGACCCCGTTACTGTAGGAGTTACTTCATACGTTGTAAAGTTCTCCAGTATTGGTATTCACTGATCTTAATTCTCTCCTTTTTAAAGAGGAAGGTTGCAGATCTGAATATGAAGAGGAGCTTCTCTTTAGTCATATCTTAATTTTCATTTAGCCTACAGATGCATGAAGTAGAGAATCGACATAGCTACTGGCAGCCTCTGTAGCCGTTAAGAAGAGTGTTCACTAATGAGTTTTATATAAACAGGTTCTCTCTCAATTTTGGATTCTGGGTAGTAGTCTTTACAATCTTGAAATGTACATGCTGCACTACCCCAGGTATACCATTGATAGTATGGGAAAAGGTTATAACTCTAGTCCTTTTTAAAAAAAAAAAAAACACACGTTGTATAAAGTGATAATTTCAGACATAAAGTCTGACTCTTCAAACAGTTATAAGTTAAACTTATACCTACTTGGGCTTTATAATAAATGAATGTGCTATCTTTTTATTATTTCCTGAGGAGAACAGATTAGAGACAGACTAGAAAATTAGGGAGAATGACCAATTGCTTGGCATAATGCAATGGTAATTTTCAAAATTATTAAGATGTTTGAGATCTTTTAAAATTATTTATATTATATATTAACAAATATTTACACAGGTTGAGCATCCCGAACCCAAAATGCTCCAAAATCTGAAACTTTTTGCTCAAAGGAAATGCTCATTGGAGCATTTCAGATTTCAGAACTGGGGATGCTTAACTGATAAGTATAATGCACATATTCCAAAATCTGAAAAAATTTGAAATTCAGAATACTTCCGGTCCCAAGCATTTCAAATAAGCGAAACCCAATCTATGATTACATATTAAATATGAATCTATCCTGTAAAAAGAACCGAAATTAAGGACATTGCAAAAATCACTATAACCATTCTTATCCAGTAGAAACTCTCATACTTTATTTTCCATCTTAATTATGTTTCGCTTAAACTAAGTATTTGAATTCTTATTCCCTGGGCATATATTAATTTATAGTAGATAATCTACAAACAAAATGTATGACTTCCTATTACTAGCCATTTGAAGATATAACAGGTAGTTGACTATATGTATGTATAGTATAGTATAAATAATTGCCTCTAAGTATAAGATTTTGAAAGGTAAAAAAAAAAAAAAAAATGTATGTCTGTACTATTATTGGTATATAGTTTCAAAAATTCACAGAAGGGAGCCAGGTGCTCTCATTGCCTAACAAAATAATGGGAGTATGTAGTTATTCTGACATCTTGACATATAGTATAAAGGGCACTCAGCAAGTGCTTTTTAGTTAGACTGATTTTAAATGAGTAGATTCAGGAGTACAAAACACACACACACACAGATAATTGGTTGAAAATAAGAGGTTAAAAACTTAACTGTTGAAGAGGAGTAAGGCTACTTAATAGTGTTAAAAACTAACTGGGTAAGGTGTGGTTAACCCAGATAGTCATTTGCCTTATGATGTGTATTCGTTAAACTAAGTCACTCACCTTCTCTGTGATGTTGATGGTTTGGTATAGCACACATGAGATGTGGTTAAAGGTGATTCAGGGATAGATCATGTGTCTGCTTAAGTAAATCTGTATTTTCATTTTGTTTTCTAGTACCATAACAGCTTGGGGGAAAGACCATGAAAAAGATGCTTTTGAACATATTGTAACACAGTTTTCGTCAGTGCCTGTATCTGTGGTCAGCGATAGCTATGACATTTATAATGCGTGTGAGAAAATATGGGGTGAGGATCTAAGACATTTAATTGTATCGAGAAGTACAGAGGCACCACTAATAATCAGACCTGATTCTGGAAACCCTCTTGACACTGTGTTAAAGGTAAATTTTCATATGTAACTTGATTATTAGAATGTGTGTGTAGCCCAGTTGCATCAACACTACTTTTCATTTACACACAATTTCAGAGCTGTCTGGACTGTCCCCTTTGTTTTAGAGTTGCAGCCCAGAGTAATAAATTTGCCTGAGGTCACACAGTAATAGCACAGAAGGATACCAAGAGTTATGGATTATTTTACTGTCAAGTTACACAGTTGAACAGATATTTTCTTTTCTGCTTACCTGCAAAATTAACAGCATTGCCATTTTAATTAATCCTATGATTTGGGCACCAAACTTATTTGCAGTTTCTTTCTTTTTCAGCATAAGTCACTGCTAGACCATTGAAGTTGTTAGCACAGAAGAAATAGGAACAGGGTGATGTGGAATAAAAATAATTCAAAAATACTCAAGTGGAGGTTCTTTAGAAATACTGTTGATTCATAATGTAGCAATGTTGCTTTTTGTTGTTAATGTTCAAGGATTTGGTTTATCTTCTTCAAAAAGTAATAATAGCAGACTTATTTGATGCCTACTACTAGAAAAATATTTTAGGTGCTTTACATAAGATGTGTCATTTAATCTCTACAAAAAAACACAATGATAAATATTACTGTCTCTGTTATAGAAGAAAAAACAGAGGCTTAGAAAGGTTAAAGTAACTTGCTCAAGGTCACACAACATGGAAGATAAGGAGCCAGATATCCAGTGTAGGTCTTTCGGCTGCAGCCTTGCTACTTGACCACACTGTTTGATACTTAATGATAGAGTACTTACCCCTTAAGAAAGGGAGACACAGAATTAAGGAGGTCTTTTCTTACTCTATTAAATGATAGGCCAATCTGAAAGTCTTGTCTTAGCCTGCAATATTTGGTTTCAGCAAACTTGACAGGTTTCATATTTTTACTGTTACCTCATAAAAATTATACACAGCTAGTTATGAGAAACTGATTTCATCAATATGGAATTTTCTCGTTAGAATCTTTAATCAGTTTATTTAGGAAAAGGAAATGATTGTTGTGGGAAGAGAATGTCAGTATTTACTCTTTTGTTTATCTGACCAAGCTTTCTGAGAAATTTTAAATTGGTGTACAAAACTTTTAATAGTAAGACAGTTTGCGTATTGTGCAATTTGGCTTTAAGAGCAAAGGAGAACTTAGAGACTATGGGTTCTAGATGCTGTGTCTGCCTATCACCGTTTCTCTGAACTTTGTGATTGAACTGGATTCATGTTGGAGTTACATCAGACAAAAACCAAAGTCATTGGGCACAAGCAGAATAAATCCAAATCAAAAGTATAATCATGAATTTGTTAAATAATGCTTTATATACTTCTTTAAAATGTACTTAATCTAATTTTAAGGATTTTTTTTTCTTGAATCCATATAATTTGAAAGGTCTAAGGGGAAAAACTTGTTTTGAGCCACTTTATGATGTGAATTCACTTCATAGGAAATAACATGCTTGTTTTTAATGTACTTTAAAGGGTTTGGACCAAATTTTAGAAGGCGTATACATAGTGTTATAAAATTTTTTAAATAGTTACTTTTTATATTCTCGATTATCAAAGCAAAATCATTTAACTTTGAAAAGCTCTTATACTTGTTTTCAGCTTTAGTTATTTATGTTGCATGTATATTTTTCCATATAGGTTTTAGAGATTTTAGGTAAGAAGTTTCCTGTTACTGAGAACTCAAAGGGCTACAAGTTGCTGCCACCTTATCTTAGAGTTATTCAAGGGGATGGAGTAGATATTAATACCTTACAAGAGGTATGTGTTTTATATTAAAAGTTTCAATAAGGCAATTCTTATAATTAAGCTTGTTTATATTTGTTGGATAAAGAGCACAACATAAATACAATTTTAAGTCTTTGTGTTTATGTTGGTATAAATCTCTGTGCATTGCTTAAAGTTTAGAAATAATAGTTTAAAATACAGAAGTGCCAGCCAAGCCATACTTACTCTTCCAGTTGTCATTGGCCACCCTGAATGATGAATCTAAAGAAGTATCACTGTGAAACAAGAAAATGTCAGTCAAGAAATATTCCTTGGAATATAAAACCAAACCTTGACTCTGCTGGCATAGGTGTGAGTGAGCTTCACAAATCTGTAAAACTCATATTAATGGGTGCTTTTTCAGAAATTATAGAATAGCTGTCACCTCTTCGTGAAATTAAATACTTAATTTCACCTCTTCGAAATTAAGTATTGACTGTCATCACTATTAGTTTTAGCCAAATAGTGTAAGTGTTATGCAGGCATACCTCATTTTATTGTGCTTTGCAAACATTGCATTTTTTACGAATTGAAGGTTGTGGCAACCCTGTGTTGAGCAAGTCTGTTGGTGCTATTTTTCCAATATGTGTTCACTTCATGTCTGTGTGACACTTACTGGTAAATTCTCACAATATTTCAGACTTTGTCATTATATCTGTTATGGTGATCTGTGATTAGTGATCTTCGATGTTACTACTGTAATTGTTTTAGGGCACCACAGAGCACACCCAGAAAAGACAGTGAACTTAATTGATAAATACTGTGTGTGGTGTGACTCCTTCACCAGTTACCTATTCCCTGTCTCTCTCTGCTCACTTCAAGTCTGCCTATGCGCTGAGACACAACAGTATTTAAATTAGGTCAATTAATAACCCCACAATGGCCTCTGGGTGTTCAAGTGAATGGAAAAGTCACATCCCTCTCATTTTAAATCAAAACCTAGAAATGATTAAGTTTAGTGAGGAAGGCATGTTGAAAGCTAGAATAGGCCTCTTAAGGCAAACAGTAGGCCAAGTTGTGAATGCAAAGGAAAAGTTTTTGAAGAAAAATAGAAGTGCTACTCCACTAAACATATGAATAAGAAAGTGAAACACAGCTTTATTGATGACAGGGAGAAAGTTTGAGTGGTCTGAATAGAAGATCAAACCAGCCACAACATTTCCTTAGGCCAAAGCCTAATGCAGAGCAAGGCCCTCGTTTCAATTCTGTGAAGGCCAAGAGAGGTGATGAAGCTGCAGAAGAAAAATTGGAAGCTAGCAGAGGTTGGTTCCTGTGATTTAGGGAAAGAAGCCATCTCTGTAACATGAGTGCAGAATGAAGCAGCAAGTGCTGATGTAGAAGCTGCTGCAAGTTACCCAGAAGATCTAGCTAAAATCATTGATGCAGGTGGCTACACTAAACAACAGATGGTCAATGTAGAGGAAACAGCCTTCCATTGGAAGAAGGTGCCATCTAGGACTTTCATAACTAGAGAGGAAGAGTCAACGCCTGCTTTGAAAGGACACACTAACTCTCGTTAGTGGATAATGCAGCTGGTCACTTTAAGTGGAAGACAGTGCTCATTTATCATTCTGAAAATCCTAGGACCCTTAGAATTTGCTGAATCTACCCTGCCTGTGCTTATAAATGGAACAACAAAGCCTGGATGACAGCATATCTGTTTACATCATAGTGTACTGCATATTTTAAGCCCACTGTTTGGACCCACTGCTCAGGGGAAAAAAAAAAAAAAAAAGATTGCTTTCAAAATATTATTGCAGATGGCATCTAAGATCTGATGGAGATGTACAAAGAGGTTAATGTTGTTTTTCATGCCTGCTAACACAACGTCCATTTGACAGCCTATCCATCAAAGAGTAATTTCAAATATTATTATTTAGGACATATATTCTTGGCCAGGTGCGGTGGCTCACGCCTGTAATCCCAACACTTTGAGAGGCCGAGGCAGGCAGATCACAAGGTCAGGAGATCAAGACCATTTCTGGCCAACACGGTGAAACCCCGTCTCTACTAAAAATACAAAAATTAGCCGGGCGGGGCGATGCGTGCCTGTAGTCCCAGCTACTCAGGAGGCTGAGGCAAGAGAATTGCCTGAACCCGGGAGGCAAAGGCTACAGTGCACCAAGATCCTGCCACTGCACTCCAGCCTGGGCAACAGAGCAAAACTCCATCTCAGAAAAAGGAAGAAATATATTCTTAAGTGTATAGCTGAAAAGGATTCACCATTCTAGATGCCGTTTAAGAACATGCTTCATGGGAGGATGTTAAAATGTCAGCATTAACAGGAATTTGGAAGGAATTGATTCTAACCCTCACGGATAACTGAGTCTTGATTTGACTTCAAGACTTCAGTGGAGGAAGTAACTACAAATGTGGTAGAAATAGCTAGATAACTAGAATTAGAAGTGGAGCCTGAAGGTATGACTGAATTGCTGCAGTCTCATGATTAAATTTGAACAGATGAGGATTTGCTTCATATGGATGGATAAAGAAAGTGATTTCTTGAGATGAAATCTACTTCTAGCAGAGATGCTGTAACATCGTTGAAATGACAACAAAGGACCTTCGAATATCAATAAAATTGGTTGATAAAACCAAAGCAGGATTTGAGAAGATGCACTCCAATTTTGAAAGAAGTTCTTGTGTGGGTGAATGCTATTATACCAAACAGCATCGCATGCTACAGATAAATCTTTCGTGATCGGAAGAGTCAATTGATGCGACAGACTTCATTGTTGTCATTTTAAGACATTGCCACAGCCACCCCAACCTTCAGCAACCCTGATCAGTCAGCAGCCATCAACAGTGCAAGGGCCTCCACCAACAAAAAGATGACTCAGGCTCAAGTGACCATTAGCATTATTTAGCAATAAAGTATTTTTAAGACATAATGCTATTGCACACTTAATAGACTGCAATGTAGTGTAAACATAAGTTTTATATGCAGGAGGAAACCAAAAAATTCCCCTGACTTGCTTTATTGCAGTGGTCTGGAAGCAAGCCCACGGTGTTTTCAAAGTATGTCTGTATTGTCTTAAAATTTTTGCCTCTTGTTTACTAAATAATGTTCTTAAGAGCCATAATTTCATCATAACTAACATCTAAAATACTCTGTAGAATATCACTAACATAATGTAGGCTGTCCACATTCAGAAACCACTGACATTTTGATGTATACCAATCTCAGATGGTATCTACAGCTATGAAACACAGGTTTTTTGCTGTTTGAAAGAGTTCGGTGGTGGTAGAGTAAGGTCAGTTCCCAAATTATAGTTTTCCAAAGATTGATTTGGGAGTGAGAAGTATTATGTTTTGTAGAGATGGGGGTCTCGCTGTTTCCCAGGCTGGCCTCAAAATCTCCTTGACTCAAGCCTCCCAAAGTGCTGAGATTACAGGCGTGAGCCACCATTCCCAGCCTGTATGTGCATCTTTGTAGTTGAGAATCAGCCCAAAACTGTACATGAATAAAAACTACATAAACAAGAATTAAATATTGAGATAAATACTCTTTGGCATTAGTGAAACAAACAGAACAAATAGGGCATTGAATCGTTTTGTGTTAATGCAGATGTACTCAGGAAGGAAAAATGTCTTTTTTTTTTTTTGAGACGTAGTTCGCTCTTGTTGCCGAAGCTGAAGTGCAGTGGCACGATCTCGGCTCACTACAACCTCTGCTTCTCGGGTGCCTAGGATTACAGGCATGTGCCACCATGCCCTTAATTTTTTGTATTTTTAGTAGAAAAGGGGTTTCACCATGTTAGCCAGGCTGGTCTCAAACTGCTGACCTCAGGTGATCTGCCCGCCTCAGTCTCCCAAAGTGCTGGGATTACAGGCATGAGCCACCGCGCCTGGCCAGAAAAATGTCTTTAAAAGAAAAAAAAAGCTGGGCCTATAGGTGTACCTAAAGGATAATACAGATGTTCCTCTCAAGTTAGCATGGGGTTGCATCTCAATAAACCCATTTTTAAGTTGAAAATATTAAGTGGAAAATGCATTTATTATTCCTAACCTACCAGACCTCGTAGTTTAGCCTCGCTTACCCTACAGGTGCTCAGAACACTTACTAGCCTACAGTTGAGTAGTCATCTAACATAAAACCTATTTGATAGTAAAGTGTTGAATATCTCAAGTAATTTATTGATGTTCCACTGAATGCAAATCACTTTTGCACCATTGTTAAGTTGAACCATTGTATGTTTGGGAACATCTGTACTTGTAATTTCTTTACATTGGTATGAAAAATATGTTCTTAGAAGCAGGAAAAAATTCAGTTTTGCTCTGTACGTACACTAAATTAGATGCTATAGTTTTGATAAAATGAAAAATCTGCTTTATTTGGAACAATTACTTTCTTCTTTGACTGTCAGCCTCACTCTTGGACTTTGCTACTCAACCTGTCACCCCTGTGACATCCCATGAGGTTTACAATGTAACCCTGCTCTAGGTTTCCACTTTGCACTGTGTACCAAAATGAAACTGCTTATTTAGGAAAATAAAAATCTCTCATGTTGGACAAAATACAGAGTGTCTATCTTCTTTTTCTATTGTGTTTCAGTTATGGATTCAATCTTCTTGGGTATCATTGAAACCTCTATTTGAGTGATTTATTAAAACATTAACATAGTATTGCATTCTCAGAGTTGGCAAGAGGAAGCTTTCTTTCAAGTCTCACATGTATTAAATGTTTTTCTTCCCAGACTCAAAATTCAGTTTAACTCCAAATTGTCTAAATTTTAAAACTTTTGGTAAAGAAACTTAGCCTGAAATACAGTGATATGATATTAGATGATACTGTTCTTTGTTATTTCCTCATTTTGTTTTTGCCTCTGAAGCATATCTAAAATGAGGTGACAGGTCAGAAACTATTTTCTCTATATTTTACCTTACCCTCCATCTACCTGTTTCCCTTTCTTCCCCTTTTCTGTTCTACTCTTTGCATTTCTTCTGTATTGAAATTCACTTTGTTCACAAATTTAAAGGAAAACCTAAATTCAGGGGCTTTGGGTACCTTTAGGTTCAGGTACAATAAAGACATGAGACTGGATTTGTGTACATCCTAAAGGAATCACTTTTAAATAAGTTTTATATGTTTTCATCTTGATTCTTCTAGATTCATCTTGATTCAAATTAGATGGTTGGCATTTAAAAAGAAAGTTGCATTTCTAAATGTAGATTTGTTTAAAAAATGAAGTTGCTTGGGATTTGTTGGGTTTTTTCCTTTGCAGTGTTGAGAAAA